CAGCTGTTGGCTCTTGCTGGGACCATCGAACGATTAGAATCAAGACGTTAGTTCTCCGCGACAGTAGGGAGAGGTAAAACTTTTGAGTGCTTCTTCAACTATTGAGCACAAACGAGTGCATGGCGCACATCAGAGCAGAAGAGTCTACTGCGAAAGTATCCATATTTGACTGCGCACGTACACAAATATAATTCTAGAGGTGAACCAATGCCTTCAAACTGGACCTAAGTTAATAAAAGAGTGACCTCTTTGGTAGATTGACTGCTAAAGGGCTACAAGAAATTAGGAACAAAAATATTTGCCTGTTGGCAACTTCTTGAAATGGGTTTAGCATCTGTAATGAAGCACAGAGCTCGTGCGATGTCACGGTATCATAATTCCCGATAAAATTGAGTTTGAAGAGAGTTGTCAGTGTTTAAGTGTTGAAAACCCGTGTTTTCAGGAGAGTAGCGCCGAAAATTCATGAAAAAACGGTCCAACGGGCCGTTTTTCGAACGAGTTTTTGCGGAAGCTTGAGCACTTATAAGAAGGAACAGTCTGACCAGGAAGGGTCATTAGGCCAACCCGGCCAAATGAAATGAGGTGCACATTTCTGTACGCAGCATGAGACGCTGAACTCAAATCTGCTTTCATTATCTGCTGAACTCTTCTCTGAAAGGAGTTACGGAGGGTTTTTGTTGCCGCCCTTGATTTTCAGTGTTTTACCTGCAATCACATGTTAGCCGCACTACAAAAGTATCGAAACCGATGCACTGGTGATGTGAGCCTAGGTAGCGCAGTTGGTAGCGGTCGTGTTTCTCACGGAGGGGGTCGGGGGTTCGGTCCCTTACGGGGTTTGTTGTTTTGCTTTTTTTCCAACATGGCTGAAAAGCCTTTTTGAATCTGTTATTTTACCAATGGTCGCCCGACGCTACATCTACGAAGAGTTTGCAAGCTGACCCTCTTAAACTTAAGCACTACTTGTCTGTGAAAGCCATGGTGCCCGTAGTGCAGGTGCTATGCTTTTCCGTGGCAAGTAGGTACGATATTCGTATTCAGGGGATCAAACTACCCTTACAGCGAGTTTTTCGCCAAATCTGAGGCGACGAACTAATTGAGAAAAAGCGGGCAGTGATGGGATTACCACTCCTCAAACTCCACTTTTTTGGGTTGACCAATCATGGACGACGGGGGAAAGGGGAGAGAAGGTGTTGTATTAGGAAATAATGGTTTGCAGATCTTTGGATGATGCAGACGGGCAAGCCAGACACAATTTTTGTCTATTATGAAAAGTGTTTAAAAATTTATTCTACCCAAGTGCCAGCCTTTTGTAATGGATTGGTGGATCGGTGAGTGACTGCCCAAATTTTCGAGGTTAGGTCAAAATTTCAGAATTCGCTAGAAGTTTGCTCAAAGGGAGAGTCTGGCTCCCTGATTACGAATATCATACTTGTTCGAAGCAAAAATGCCTGGCGCCTGCGCTACAAGCGCCCAAAGTAGTGAGGAGCGATGCCGCCCAAGTTCGTTATTAATTGCCCTCAAATTCTTTGTACTGTTAACTATACGCAAGCATGTTGGACTAGCAATGTTAGGAGTCTTCCTAGCTATCTTACTGCAAACGGCAAAAGAACAAACTCGCCAGGGAGTTGATCCCCTGACCTCTTTTTCGTGAGCCTCGACCACAGCCCCTGCGCTTTTCTGCTTCATAATTCCTTTCAGAGAAGAGTTCAGCAGATAAGGAACACATATTTGAGCTCAGCGTCCCAAGGCGCGTATACACATATACATCTCATTTCAAATGGCCGGGTTGACCAAATGACCTTTCCTGGTGAGCTTTCCAATTTTTCTTACCGATCCTCATAATTCCTTCTTTGAAGAAAGTTACAACCTTTCAAAGGACGAAGTGCGCATTTCTGTGAATTCTTTGTTCTCTACCCCATAACTGACGTAGTTTTGAAGATAAGGCATAATCGTGGTTACCTTCTGAAACAAGCAGTTTTGTAGATTACAAATCTACTTAGCGTTTTAAGAAATATTGATATTGAACAAAATTACGCTTATTTGAAAGTCAATAGTCTGTTTCTCGCTGCCCGCGCTGCGCCGAGGGGAAGATTGCGCGCGCCAATGCGAACGCAACGCTCCCGTGCTCCAATCGGACACTTCTGCTGTATACTCTCATGCTCTGAGATGCGCCATGCACTCGTTTGATATGCGCTTGCATATCGAAATGGAAATTTTTTGTGATTCTGAACGCCCATTCATGAAAGGCAGGCAAAGCGCCATTCGAACTAAAGGGCAGTACTGTTTAGCAACTAATGAAGGCAGTTCGTTTTGCGATGTTATGCACTAGTGAATTACCGGGCGCTCATCCAGTAAGGGGGGCATCAAGTGGCTGCCCTCACCCCCCCCCCACCCCCTAGACTGCCTACACTCCCCCTGGCGCACAGGTTTCTCGAAGTACGGGACCCCGTGAGCCAGGGGGAGTGAAGCCAGTTCAGGGGGGGGGGGGGGGGTGAGGGCAGCTATTAGACGTTGCATCACAATGCCCCCCCCCCTTACCGGATGAGCGCCAATTACCGGATATCAGAAACTAAAGCTCGTCTGCTAACTGTGTTTGAATTCAAGTCAAGTATCTTTAGATTTTGGCACTATTCAACTATTACAACCCCAAAATCTCAAAATTTTATTTTCGTCGAAACTTCGCCATAGGGGTTATTCGATGCCCTGATTACGAAAATGACATTCATTTTCAACGTTGGCGCCTGTAAACTTGTATACAGGGGTTATTCGGGGTCCTGATTACGAATATAACATTCATTTTGCCGCTTGCGCTATTTGGCGCCTATTTTCGGCTCGTCTGCGCCCTCTCACTGATTAGCTCGCGATCAGGACTAAGCCTTTGGGGAGAGGAGTGCTCCGAAGTGAGTAAATACTCATCCTGTGATCTTATACGCTTCAACATTTGCCACACGTTGCGTGGTTCACCCAGTAGGAATCCCCCTCCTCCTAACAAGGAATGGTCAATTGGTCGGTCCGGCCGTTTGTAATGAGGTGTAGTTTGATGCACGCGTCTTGCGACGCTGAGCTCAAATCCGTTTTCGGTTTTTGCCGAACGATTCTCTGAACGAAGTTATGAGGGATTCTTCTCACTGTGGCGACCTCTACACCCCCCCCCATCCCACTTATCACACATAAGAAGAATCGCGGAGCATTTCGCGGTTCTTTCAAGGTTGCTCATACGAGCCCAGAAAGCGCTATACTGCGTTATTTTGTTATCGTTCTGTTTTTACGCGAGCCAAGTGGGATAGGGGGATGTAGAGGGCACCAGTGAGATAGCCACAGTGAGAAGAATCCCTCATAACTTCGTTCAGAGAATCGTTCGGCAAAAACCGAAAACGGATTTGAGCTCAGCGTCGCAAGACGCGTGTAGCGGACTACACCTCATTGCAAACTGGCCGGACCGACCAAATGACCATTCCGTAAGCTCAGTCCGAGGTAATGTATACAAGTGAGAGAGCCCAAGAAAACGGGAAATATGCGTTGAACGGTGGAAATGCTAAAAACGAATGTCATATCCGTAATCAGGACCCAAATAACCCCTGTATACAAGTTTACAGCGAATTTGGTGAAAACAGCCCTGGCGCCAAATGGCGCCAACGCCAAAAATGAATGTCATTTTCGTAATCAGGGCATCGAATAACCCCTATAGGCGAAGTTTCGACGAAAATTAAAATTTTGAGATTTTGGGGTTGTAATAGTTGAATAGTGCCTAGATTTTTGTAGATTGCACTTATTTCCCCCGTGTTAGCTTTTTCCTTAGCAGTGTACAGTACATAATGAGTGCGGGGGGGGGGGTCGTATGGAGACTCTCCAAGAGGGGGGGTCGTAAAAATTTTGAAATCGGTCCAACGTGACGGTTGACCCTGCGCCCGACCCTGGATATATCCCCGGCTATCGGTGGGCGTGGCCTCTCCCCGAGGACTGTCGGGGGAGCATAACATACCGAGACGGGGACCCCTCCTGTTGCGGGAGCATGGCATACGGCCCTGGTCTCGGAATCGAATACTATGGGGGGGGGTCGTACTGAGGTCCTCTAGAAGGGGAGCGGGGACGTAAAATTTTCGAAATCGGTCCAACGTGATGGTTGACCCTGGTGCCCACCTCAGTTGTACAGAGCCGTCGCTCGTTTTATCTGAGTTACAGTCGATATCTCGAAGTCTGATTGGGCGTGTCACCGGAAATGACGTGGCAGCCACCGCACTTGATAGATGTTGTGTGGATAAAATACTCCGCCATTATCAGCAAAGCATGTTGGAAGCAGCTTATCCGCGCAACTTCTATCAAGTGCGGTGGCTGCCACGTCATTTCCGGTGACACGCCCAATCAGACTTCGAGATATCGACTGTATGTATTATCGACTACAGAAATGGTACACTTTCGATTAATAAGAAATTATACGGAATTTAACCACTATTGATGGAAATTTAAAAAAAAAACAGGTATACGCGCACTAAGCGGAGTTCGTCAATGTGTTAAATTTGGAACATTCGACAAATTGGTGTCTAGCATTCAAAAACATAGCTGGCAGTGGACTGCCGACAAGCGCTTAGACTGCGACTCTTCCTTTGTATCTGCCAGGCGCCTGGGCGAATCTCATTTCAGAGCCACTCATGCCATGGAAGGTATCGATTGAATCCGACGTGATAGGCGCGTTGGTCAAAGCAGTTTCAATACTGTCATCTCCACATCGGGCTCCCCACTGCAGCGCGCTCTTCTTTTCCTGTTACGTTCTGTCTGGTTTTCTGATAATGATAGGCACTGATTACCGTTTTCCAGCACTTAATCTCGTGATTTATCGCAACTCCTTACACCAAATCTCCTCGTTTCTTTCTCTAAGCTTCTCAGCGTTTCATTTGATGCAAGTTTAAGCTTGTGATAATATCGAGATATTTCCTCGTTTGTTGTTACAGGCCGCCTTGTTAAACTGTCCGTCTTCAACTTCTCATATTTCGCACAATAGAATGGAAAGTGTTATGGAGGCCAGTAAACCAGCAGAAGAACCGTTTGGTAGGTGGAGTAATTGTGACAGTGTGGTATCCAAACTTCTCAGGTTCCCTAGTTTGGGTGTGGTTCACTAGAGCAGAAAGCGACTTTTTTGCTTTTCGCGGCGCGAAGCTTTTCTCGTTGTTGGAACCCTAAGTCCACCACTCATAATGACTGGACCTGAGGCTCACGAGAAAAGAGAGAAGAACGGGAAGTTTAGGGCGCAAAAGCGGGAAAGTCACTCTCTGTCCTAGTGAATCATAATCTCTTAGTTTCCGGCAGGCCAAAAGTGTACTGTGCGTTATCGCAATGTACGGGGCATCCTGTGGTATTAAGTTTACAATTAGAAGGGGGCAGGATGCTGGGAAAAATGAAAGTGACGGGAGTCTCTCCTCCCTCACCTCAGACTTAGTCCCGTTTTAACAAAAATTATGTGTTTTACACGGTTCTGAATGGACTGCTACCACAGGGCCCTCGTATCTTGCGATAGCTTCTTGGACTGTTTCTCTGTGCCCCTACAATATTCTGTAACTTCCAGAAAGTTTTAGTGCTTTTCTTTTCGCCATTTATTCAGAAGTTCTTTGTGATGGTCATCAAAGCCTATATTGAGTCGACGTGTATGAAATTCGGTCTTCAAAGTAAAACCGATAGGGCGTTACAATTATGTGTAAACGGAGTACAGTCCATATCTCGAAGTCTGATTGGGCGTGTCACCGGAAATGACGTGGCAGCCACCGCACTTGATAGATGTTGTGTGGATAAAATACTCCGCCAGATATCAGCAAAGCGTGTTGGAAGCAGCTTATCCGCGCAACTTCTATCAAGTGCGGTGGCTGCCACGTCATTTCCGGTGACACGCCCAATCAGACTTCGAGATATGGACTGTAGAAAGCAAATTCTATAGTGACGAAAAGCTGTTTGCAATGTTTCTACATACGCATCACTTTGTAGGAATTAGCTAGACGTGCTTCATTTTGTTAAGCCAACGTTCGTGGCCGGAAATTTAGGGCCGTATGCTATCCTTTCCCGAAGCTAGGCGATCCAAAGTTTCCTTTAAATTTATTTGTTTTGAACGATATAGTTTCTTCATTTTCAGTGCATGTTTACTTTAACCTACATACATACATTAAATGTAGGCCTTTATCAGGGCAATCCCAGTTGGGAAGACAGGTAGTTCGGCGTAAAGAATGAATCCACAGTTGTGAAAACAATCGCTGCAAAACTCAAAGAGCGAAGCCAATCCAGTCGATTTCTGCTAACCCTTACCGCTCATCGCCAAATCCCCGCCACCACCGAATTTCTCGGTTACCACGTATATGCTGTACCCAACAAGGGTGTGGTTCACTAGGACAGAAAGCGACTTTTTCGCGTTTCGCAGCGCGAAACATTTTCGCTGCGGGAACCTCAGGTCCACCGCTGATCATCAGTGGACCTGAGGTTCCCGCAGCGAAAAATGTTTCGCGCTGCGAAACGCGAAAAAGTCGCTTTCTGTCCTAGTGAACCACACCCATGCAGCAAAATGAATTGTCTGCTGAATCTCAAAATACAGCAATAGTTCATATCTCGACGTCTGAGTGGGCGTGTCTGTAGACTTGTTAGGACTTTTTCACGCACATGGCTAATAAAACGGTCATGTGACATCTGACCATTTCGACGTGGCACAACAAGATCTGGGGGCGTCGCTCCGAGCTGTCTGCTCTTTCCATGTCTTACTGCGATATCCTGGAGTACTCATGATGGGCATAGGGCCAGCATTTCACAAGAATCATTGGTACACCAGCTTAGCCCTCCTGCAACCGCCACGATCCTCCTTTGTTGCGCTAGGCTGCCTTCATACTTTGCACCGTTGCGGACGATGCGGACAGAGTGCAACACGCGCATTGCGCATACGTTCTTGGCGTACAGTCGGTAGTTCCCAAGCAATGATTCCAAATCCAATATGTTTTCCTGTTTACTTTTTGACGCTCTGTGTGCCTTCTTGCTTTTGTTCATATTGTTTTGCTCAAAGCTTTTCCTTCTTCGTATGAAATATCGTCTTTGCTCACTAATGGCCTCACCTGGGGCTTACCGCCTACACCTGCACAACGATACACGTTCAGGGACAACTGAACAATATTGATTAGGACAAAAAAGGAATGTCTTAGCCAGCGAAACACGAGTGAAAGCATAAACATCGAAAAATAAATGCAAAACATATTGAAACTGAAATAATCCATCGAAGCCTATATAAACAGTTCCTCAAGTGAGGTTGGCACTATTCAACTATTACGACCCCAAAAACTCAAAATTTTATTTTTCGTCGAAACTTCGCCTATAGGGGTAATTCGGTGCCCTGATCACGAAAATGACATTCATTTTTGGCGCTGGCGCCATTTGGCGCCAAGGGTGTTTTCACCAAATTCGCTGTAAACTTGCACATAGGGGTTATTTGGGGTCCTACTTACGGAC